CCTTATATCAGAAGTTTAAACTCATATGGTTTAAAACGCATGATTTCAGCGCGATAAACATGATAATCAGAACCAAAACAGATGTTTTTTAGCAGATACGAGATGTAATGGTGCAGCTCTATTCTGGAAAAGGGGGCGGGGAGCAGCAGCTCATTTGCATTTAAAGAGACCGGTCTGAAAAACAGCGTGTTTCTGCTTCCACTCAAAATAGGCATTTTCAAAATGATATAATAAATGATTTGTGGAGTATTTTGAGCTGAAACTTCACCGATATATTCTGGGGACACCAGAGACTTATATTACATATTGTAAAAAGGTGCATAATATGTCTCCTTTAAACTGTTTCAAACAAATGCTGTTATTTTGAATTATTTTTATTCATCAAAGAATCCTGAAAAAATATATCATGGTTTCCACAAATAAATTAAGCAGCATACCTGTTTTCAACATTGATAATAACAATAAATGTTTCTTGAGCAGCAAATCAGCATATTAGAATGATTTCTGAAGAATCATGTGACACTGAAGACTGGAGTAATGATGCTGAAAATTCAGCTTTTCATAACAGGAATCAATTACATTTTAAAATATATTTAAATAGAAAACTGTTATTTTAAATTGTAAAATAATTTCACAATATTACTGTATTTTTTGAATAAATGCAACCATGGTGAAACTTGCAAAAATGTTAAGAATCCTGCTGACCCCAAATGCCTATCCAGTGTAAAAATGACTCAATCTGGGTTTTATTTGTTTAGGGGTCGTGTTACTTCACTCTCCGTACACCGTTCTGGAAAACTTGCGCTCTCTGTCGGAACAGACAAGACTCTGCGGCAAGTACACAGATGTTAACATGAATATCAAAAGTCCTGGTCAGATTGTTAAGCTGTAAATGAAGTTAAGCTGTTTTAATTTTTGTGTATGAATGGTAATAAATATCATTGGGCTTGGTTTGCGGTTCAACAAAACTATAGTTTTAATGACAAAATGTAATATTATTGTAGAACATGGAATCTCATTGAAGGACGTTCAGCTTTCATCAAGAATCTTAAACAGAGTAAGTGAGATTATAATAAGATATACTTTCTGGTTCTGTATTTTCATTGTTTTTCCTTGTTTTATAAATGATTTTATAGAATAATTGTATTATATTGAGAAAATTAAACTTCTCAGTTAAATCAAAACGTGTGTGTTTTGTAGATGCAGAGATCGTCTTGTGGTCACCAGACGGAGATCAGTATGCAGTGGTTGGGAATGATCGAGTGGACATTTACATTCTAAAATCTGCCACAATTACTGGAACCATTGCATTCACACAAAGGATTTCATGTGTGAAGTTTCTGAAGGTGATCAGTCTCATCGGTGTCGCAAGAGAACAGATATGTCTATTAAGTCAGTTCTAGTTTAGCTTGCAATTAAAATGTTGCTTCCCTGGTTTGTCAAATGTAACGTGATCAATTGATTCTACTGCAAAGAAATCTTATTCCAGCCTCTGTTCTGCATGTCTCTTCAAGAACACACTCTTGGCTGTGGGAGGAAACGATGAGAGCGTGCGTATCTATGACGTGACCTCACAGAAGTGTGTCTGCGAGTTCAAAGCACATGAGAACAGGTATGACCGCCACTTTTGAACCTTTATTTAAGGCTGCATCCTAATCCAAGTGAATCGGCCATTTCTAGGTCTGTCTTTTCATCAGAATTGTGCTAGTGCATTGAAATACTCAGAATGCATTGTAAAATGAGTGAGATCAGCTGTATTTGTTATTGTATTCATTTTAGGGATGTTCATTTTAACCGGTTAACCGACGGTAAGAATTTTGACCGATTAATACAATCAGTTAAACGGTTTAAAAAGTCAGTAATTTATCAAAATATTTAAAATGGTTTGCTGCATGGATAAAATACGCTACGCGTATAAAAAAATGTGTTTTTTAGAGGGAAAAAAACCAAGTCGCATTTTATTATTTCATTCAGAAATAGACCTAATGCCGTCGCGAAATGTTTACAAACATTATAATAAACACTGTAAACATAGCTAGTGTTAGTTCCCCTCACTCCACAACAAATCCTTTCAATTAACAGTATTTAGAAAAGAATTAAATAATTAAAAATATAAGAAGCTATAGCAATATAAA